TGTTGGTCTTGGAGATTTGAAGTTGTTGTTTGAGGTCAAGTATTTGTTGTTTAAGCCTTGCACATTTGGCCTTTTCTTTACTTAAGGAAGTGGCAATTGCAGATGCCTCGAGTTTAATGGCCTAAAACCTAGATTTGTTCTAACTTAGCACCTCAACTTTACAGGTTCGGGCAACTTCGATCTCAGCCTTTTGTGTGTGCAAGTTGGTCTTTCCTTGTTTAAAGCTCAAATATCATTGAACATCTTGGTCACTACCATGACTTCATCTTTGAAATTTGGTGGGAAGTGCTCAAATGGGATAGTTTGAATATTATTCAAAACTTCTTGAAGTTCTTTCTTCTTATTGGGAATCTCAATGGTTACCTCAAGGGGATTAGAGTAAATGAATTTCTAGAATTCATTTACTAAATTAAGTGCATCGATTTGTAGTAGAGATGTAAAAGAAGAACTAGCTACATATTTGAATGACTCTACGTGAGTAGTCATGAGATCCAAGATGCTAAAGGGATTCTTCTTGATTTCCTATAACGTTGCAACTTGGCTATTGGTCGATGACTTGTGTGGTTAGAATCGATTAACATTACAACAAGTTCACGTAGAGTAGTCTCCAGTAATACAACATCAGTTGGTTGGTGGAGCAACTATACAAAGTAGATATCTAAATTAGTAAACATAATATATGATTAAAACCATATGAGTAATAAAATAAGTACATCAATAGGAGATGAAGCTGAAGGAGCGAGCACATATGGTATTTCGAACAGAGAATATAAGCTACTTGATACATTTGTCGAAGCCACAGTCTGTCATAAACAAATATGATCATAAACACAAACATGATAAAAGATGGAACTAATTTGTGAGTAAAAGAAAAGAATATACTTGGCTCAATTTAGATCTGCGTCGAGTAGTGGAGAGTGGGACCGTTTCACTCCTGGAACTGGAATCAACAATAGTTGTGGGTTTCCTAAAGACATCCACAAAAAGGCATTGATTCCTATAAAGATGAAATTGAAAATCGGTTAAACAATTCATTAAGCAAAAATCCACTCATTGAGTACAAACAACACATAATACCTTAGGAGCAACAACAAATAGTGTTGTAGAAGGTGTCACCTTTGATTTAGATATTTTTTTTAAAAGAATAAAAGATACATTGTAAGTAGAAAACCAACATCAACTAAATCAAAGACTTTAAAAGAATTAATTATACTAGACGAGGAAGATAGACATGAATCTTTCTTTTCTTTTCTTTCGGGCTTTAAGAGGTTGTGGTTCGGGTTTGACAACCTCAATTTTTTTGCTTTTCGCCTCAGGATCAAGAATCCTTATTGATGTCAAAACTGGAAACAAGAAAATAGAGTCAGAACATGAGCCAAAAGCAGTTTGGCTAAACAAATGGGGGGAGAGCCTATGTGTAGCAAATATGTTAGGTTGAAGTAGTGATAGGATATTTGTATTGAATGAGGGCATAAAAATTGTGTACATAGCTAGTACACCAAGAAGGTTATGTGTTCCTGAGTAATAATAATGATATTGGGGTTATCAACAAAGAGTTTGATAAAAAATTAATCATAAGTTTTCCTTTCCCATTGAATCTTGGCCTCAAGTTCATCATCTAAAGGGAAAATAGTGAACAAATATTTTTCTCCAACAGGTTTAAGATCTATAATTACAACAATATCAAGGAGAACAGGGGCAACTGGACCATAAGGTAGCTCCATCGTATTAAGATCTTTGTTCCATAGGTGGACAACTAGCAAAAACATGGACATATCTAAATGATATATGAAGTAGCGGGAGAGGTGGATTAAATGAAAAATTCCTATATTTTTTCCAATGATCACCAAATTTGGCACAAACCTATCAAGCCAACTGAGTTAAGGACGTTAGTATTTTGGGCAGGGTCAGTTCTATAAACCTTCAAAGATATATTAATGAAAGCAGTAAGAATTTCTCCTCCTTGGATAATAGTGTTTCCTTCTTTAAAAGAAGGGAAGTTAGAGACTGAGTCTATAGAGCCCAATGGACCGCTGAAATCCTACGAAACTCCCCCAACAAAAAAGGGTATAAGTACCTAGGTCAACAAATTCTTCTTGATTCGGCCTCAAATCCAATACGGGAGCAAATGTCTTCCCATTCAGCTCGATGAAGTTTATAGGGATAACATTTAAATTAGAAACTTGGGAGATAGTAGTAGAAGAAACTTTATGAAAAGAAGACGCCATTACAACAAAGGGAATGAAGAGGCAAGAAGGAAGATAGGGTTCTTTGGGAAGTTGCAGGAAGTTTAGTTTACGAATGGATGCGTAAAGAAGTAAAGAAGAAGAAATGATCTTTATAAAGAAATAAGAATGAGATTTCCCGAGAAAAAAAATCATACTCAAAAGTAATTGGGCCTAAAATTTCGACCCACACAACATAAATGACAGCTCTTTAGATGATTATTTCAAGGTGCATTTATTACTGAAATTTTGCATTTATAAGTGGAAACGTAAGAAATGATGAGAGTATGGTAGTAATCATCTTTAAAATAGTTTTTTTTTATAAGGGATAAGAGATAAAATATTTCTCAAAGGAGATAAAAGGTTCTAAAAAGTTCACTTTTTGTACTAAGAGAATGTTCACTTAATGGGATATGTTTTACATTCTCTTAGGGGACATTTTATTATATACAAATTTACAAATGAATCAAAAGAATGAGTTAAGAAAATATCGGAGTTAAAAATAAGGACTAAAGATCAAAATAATAAAGATAGAAGAGGATCAAACAAATTGAATATTAAAGGTAATAGAAAGATAAGATATCAAAGACTACAAATCGAGAGAGATTGAGGGCATCGAGAGAAGAGTAAAAGAGAAAATTGAAGAATTAGAGGATATAGTAAAATCAAAGAATCAAAGAAGACAAAAGGGACATCGAAAGGGAGTTATAAAATTAAGGGAAATGTAGAGCGATTGTAACTTCTTGATTTCATAAAAATGGTTATAACACCAAGTGTACTAATAAGACTACTCAAAAGGAGTAAAAACAATTAATAGGGAAAGAAAATGTTTTTTTTATCTTGAATTTGTTTTTTTCTTAGTGGTTACAAAAATAATAAATATAAATAGAATCAAATAAGTGAAAAAATGTGACAAATTGTATTAAGAAACTTACATTATGAAAAACGTTCCAAACAAGAAGAAAACTTTTCAATGGAATTCTTGACAATTTGGGTTATCACTTTTATTGATTTCCGAACAGTTCTGTTTTATCCTTGGTAATTTATATTTCTAGTATTTTACATTTTCCAACAATTTATGTTTCAAGCAATTTACTATTTCTAATAATTTACATTCCGCATTTTTTAAAATTTCTTTCTTTAATTTTCGTCATTTGTTTCTAGAAACTCTATTCTTATTTCAATGCATCTCCTTTCAATAATTAAGTAATATTTGAATTAATACTTAAAATCTAAATATACAATCAAAACAATTTTATCAATATCTTTATTAAATTAATATACGAATAATTCATTATAAAACTTAACTTAATTATTGAGTAAAACAATAATTAATACTATCTAAATTGAATAATTGTTAGAACTATTTTTCGCTATAAATACACTGATAAAATAGTATGAACCTAACCTTGAATAAATAGTGTGATTTTTTTGGATAATTTCCAACTATCAAATAAAAATAGAAATGAAATAAAAAATATTTAAAAAGATAAAAAAAATATCACAAATTTGATAGATAAATTTAAGACATTGTAATTAAAATTTATAGATTAATAAATATTTGTCGTTTTAATTAAAAATTCAAATATAAAAATACTTAAAAGAGAATTCTCACTCACAAAAATAAATGATATTTTTTAAAGTCAAAATTATAAGTAAATAAGTATGATAGATTGTTTCAATAAATAATCTAAATATTAATAGAAATTTAATATTTAATAATAATTTAATAGCTATAAGTCTCTAATTTAATATAAAAAATAGAACAAATGACATTCAAATTATAATAAAAATCTTAAAATCCTTTTTTTATCATTTCATGCACTTACCATATAATAACCAAAAAATCAGAAAAGTCTTTGGTGAGAAATTATAATTTTTTACTTTATTAAACAACTCATTAATATAGCTTTTAATTGTTTTAGTTTCTTTTATTATTGAACCCTTAATTCTCTAATCAAGTTGAATATTAACATGTTGTTTTATTGTCATAATATTTTTTTAGATAATTTTAAATCTTTCTGACAAATTTAAAATTTAAAATTTTTGTAAAAAAATTGGACACAACAGAAAATAAAATATTGGTCTTATCCCGTTTTCTTTTTCTCTTCTTGTGATTCTTTATCCTCCCTATAATTGGATTTTTATGTAATAATTTTCTTCTAGTATCCAAAGGACCCAATAATGTAAGATGATTTACCATCTTTCCGATTTATGAATCTCCCACCATTAATATTTCTCTCAAACTCACAATCCATCGAACATAGTGACTCTAGATACCCAATTTGTAGATATAAAATCTTGAAAGAATGAGAAGAAAAAATAAGATATGTTTTTCAAAGGATAAATTCTATTATGCACAATGACAATGATAGGATTTGGAGATGAGGAAGACCAATAAATTTTTTTTTTCAGTAAAAAATTATACAATAATTTTATATATAAGTTTTAATGGAATATAAATTTTCTGGTAAAATGACCATAACATCTTCATACTATCTCTCCCCCCATCCCTGATTATGCGTTATCCTTTTTAATTAAAGTGAAAATCAAAACTGAAAAACAAATACATCCCTTATTTTTAGGTAATAACCAAAAGTAAATTTTAGTACGACAAAAACGAAAATAGCACTCCTAAACACTATGTTATGAGTAAGCAGAAAAATAATCTTCAAGAATTCAAATAAACATCTCCAAATTTATTCTTTTAAATGTAAAGAAGGAAAGTAAGCACCATCATATGCAATGATTTTTTTTATGAAAACAAATAAGAACCTACTCGATTGAAACAAGTGAGGGATCCTTTCCAAGTTCAATAGATTCAACTATAGTCGTACTTTTATTCTTCAAAAATTGGTTGTACCATTTTGCAGAGAGCTTCGGGTGTCTCCTCAACTCTGGATCACCCCTATCAACATAGTATAGGCCAAAGCTAGACTTGTATTCATCCAGCAACTCGAACAAATCCAGGAAAGACCATGCAAAATAGCCCTTTATGTTGAGTCCATCTCTGAGAAATTTTGGGGTGATGTAGAAAATGAGAGAACACATCAGATGTTTTTGTTTAAACACTTTCAAAATATATAAACCATTGTATTGCACTCTAATGATAACCACTTTGTTCTTTCTATTTCAAGGATTTGTGCTCTTTTGTGTATCATTATGTGTTCTGTGCATGTTTTATAAACAATATAGTTCATTAGATTAGTTATCCATAATTAGATTCCCAAGTTGTAAATAAAACCTAGCCCATCGACTTAGGGACTTCCTGGCGGAAGTGATAGAAGAAAACTATGATGTATTACATGAATTAGAGCAGTGGTAACATACCTCAAGGCATCAAGCACACAACCAATATATTCCTGCATATATTGCACCCTTGACACGTCTTGCAGTGACGAATTGCTTGATGTGCGTTGACCTTGTAACCCAAAATTTAATCAGTAACTCACATAATCATATAAACTCACAATGTTCCATACGAGCAACTTAGATATCATCATTGGATTCCCAGTTTACCATTGATACATATGCACTATAAATGGTTGAGTAAAGTTCCATACAACTAAGTCTAAAGAAGGTTTATATAGGAAAGTATAAGTTGATCGTAATATGCCATTAACTAATGTTAGTGTTAGTTACATGTATCAATAAAGTGGGTATGGAGCATATAGGCAAGAATGAACATGATCGAAACAAATTCCTAATGTAATCAAGTTGCTTTGTCTGTTTCAACAAAACTATGAGTCCAAGCTTAATATTCAATCCTTCTAACATCAAGGTTGATTTTACTAAAATATATTCATAGCCATGGTATGTAATCTTAGAGAGAGACAAACCATTTTCATGAATGAAAATGGGAGGATTGCCATAAAGGAGCTTGAATTTGTTCAGTTCTTTCCGAAAACCCCATGGTGCAACAGGGAACTGAATCAAGTAAAGCGTAAGGTCAGTTATTCGCACAATGAATAATTTAAATTGAACCAATTAATGTGATTTTTTGTTTTATTGTTACCTCTTCATTTGAAAAGAGATCCAATCCTACTGCAAAACCAGAAAAATTTACATGAGTCAAAATAAGGGACTAACGCGGTTGAGTTTATTATCATAATTGATAATTTTAAATCATTCTAAAAGATTGTCCGACTTTTTATTCAATTGTTTTTGTATAATATCAAGAGATTATGAGGTTATGTAAGGGATCTCATCATGTGAAATTTCAACAGGTTGAAAACTTCACAATGATAATGAAAAGATGTCGTGAATTCAATTTCCTCAGTGAACCATAGATGACCAACTTTAATCTCTTACTAAATTCACTTTAAGCTTGAAGAAGTACTTACATATCTTTGCAGCCATGTCTGCTTTGAAATCTCTCAATTGGTTCTTAAGGGCGTCAGAATTGTCTGTGATATTGACATTGGTGTAGTGAATGACCCCAATAAAGTCAAATGAACCCTTAACTTGTTCAGATTCACGATTTGTGAAGGATGGAATTCTTTCACCTGCATTCATCTTCATGGAAATGGGATAGTCTCCATATTGCAAGGGTTCCATAACCCTGAAATATCAAAGCACACTTGTAAAACTGCCATGTTTATTATTATTCAACATATGTATTGGTATGTTCAATTAAAGAAAGCAATCTTTAATGAACTGAAGATAGAATAATATTACAAGGGTAACAAATAAAACTTCATTCATAATTATTCACCTATCTTAAGAGAACGAATTAAGAATAAGGGGAAGAAAGAAGTAAAACTAACCGAGTTTAGGGTCTATAACTTACCAACCAACCAAAAACTCACGGACTCGTTGAGTTGCTACCCTGTCTTTTTCAGTATTTGTTTGAGGAAAAAACCCAAATGTGTATACAGAGATACCAACAAATCCATGTTGTTTGTTCTACAATGTCACTTTAGTTTCTTAGAAAAGGCCAACATCCTTTGCCAACAAAGTTTGGCATGTGAGAAGAATAAAAGTAAATATACATAGATTGAGAATCGGACAAGTATAGTAAGTTTAAGAGTTTAACTTTTATGCATTATTAGTAAACAACATGTAATCCAAAATCATAGTAGTAATAGCTTTTAGATAATAATAATAATAATTGAAGAGATAATAATTCAAAAACTCTTCAGACAAATAGTGCGTAGACTAATTTTTCTAAGTTTAATTGAAATGGAAGTATGTTTCTTGAAGTTTTTGCGTTTAAACATATATATGTGAGATTAGATGATGGTACCCTGTATTTTCTCCAATACAATCTGGTAGCTGCAGAATGAGCTAACAAAATATGATGAACTGCCAAGTATGATTCATATGTTGAGTTGCCTCCGGTGCTCTTTCTAAGACAAAATGGGGGAGAACATCGTTGTGGTGGTAAGCTTCCCTCATCATAACCATTTAAGCCAAAAACGTTGGGTTCATTGACAGTGGTCCAATACAAGACTCTGTCACCAAACTCTCTGAAACATACATTTGCATAGTATGTGAAGTCTCTTCTGCATTTACATCCAAGTAATTTGTCGATCAGTATTTCTCGATTCTTTTCATGATTTAATATAAGGAACTTGTACTGTTATGCTAGACAAAAGCGAACACACACACACACCCATGGTTAGAATAGCTAGAATTTCCATATATGATTCCTCAGGTTTCATGAATTAATTTCAATAGCATTATCGTGTTAGAGATCAGGAGCATACATGATGTTACGACTAACCCATCCTCCATATTCATCTTCAAGAATCTGTGGAAGATCAAAGTTGTGTAGCGTGACATGTGGTTGGATTCCTGCTCCAGGAAAATAGGGGAACTATATCAGTTGAAGAAGTATAATAGGTTTCAAATTTGTTTATTTATTGGAAGTGAGTACAAGGCACGATTAATTTTGCAAGCTAATTAAGAAACTGGAATTGAAGTTTAACCATTGCTGGTGAGCTCATTGATGAGATTGTTGTAGTACTGCAATCCTTTTGGATTGACAGGTCCTCTGCCATCTGAGGAGAAATAAAAGCATTTTTGGAAGTGAGAAGTGTTTTACCCTACAAAGAACTATAAATATATAAAATTCAAGGGTTTGTGTCGATTATCATACTTGGTAACAGTCTCGACCAAGAAATGGAAAATCTATAGCCTTCAAGTCCTGTTTCCACCATTAGCTTCACATCTTCCTGCATTACATATATTTTAGAAAAAATAATTAAAATAAAACGGCTCTAGAACAGTGTCTAAACTTCTTTTGTTTGACCACCTTATGCCTCAATCTTCAACAATTGGGAGAATCACCACACAAGAAATGTATTAACTGGAAAAGAAAAAATGTTTAGGCTAAGGGTATTCACCTTATACTTGTGGTATGCATCACAGGCTACATCTCCGTTAACTCCAGGCACATATACTGTTCGTTCAAAGTTATTATGAGACTGACGTTTGCAGAGTGAATAATTATCGGTATTGAAAATGAAAAACTAGATTAATAAATTTTATGTTTCCCGATTTTTCAATACTGATTCATGTTTCAGAAAATTTGTTTATGATATAATCGATTTTTATTTTTTCTTAAGAGGGTGTAATCGGCCATTTTAAGTGAGAAAATTAAAACCACATATAGAAAAGGAGGACAAGAGGAAGAGAATTGACACTCAATGTTTCACTGAATTTTTATTCTTCACTTGTTGGTACAAACAACCCATAGTCTTTACAGACAAATTCAAACAATAAAATACTTCAAACTTTAAGCCTAAGGAAAGATGAGAGTTGGTAGTAACAGTTATTCAAGGATAAAAATAATATTTTATTGTATATCTTATATATGAGATATTAGAAGGTCACTTTAAATTTTTTTAAAAATATAAATAATTTTGATAAATTTTTAAATGGTTCATAATAAATATTTATTTTTATTTTAAAGAAACTCTAAGGATAAAATTGTTAAAAATATTCAAGGTGTTTATTATTATAATACAACCTAACATAATATTAGTGATTAGTTAACTCAAATAATGATTAATAACTCATTCAAATGATCAATAATTCTTTATTAATAACTTGATCTCTAATTTTTGTTATGTTGAGTCTCTTGTCACTTTTTCTCTCTTATTTTTTCTCTTAACATTTGTATAAATTTCAACTCATGATTCACTTGTAATTATCTTTTTGCTTTGCAATAATATTATCACCTCTCTTTTCTTTACCCTGTTTTTTTCCCTCTTGGGTTTTTGTATGCATGTGTTAATTTTCTTCTTTACTCGTTATTTATTTGGTACCTTCTTGATATGGTATCGGAACTCTTTTTTTAAGAATTTTATTGTGTATCTCTGATTTTTCACTTTCTTGTTCACTCATCCGTGTTTTCTTACTTTGTTTCTCATGGCCAAAGAAAATTCTCCTAAAATGATGAAGGTTCTCGTCATAATATTTTCATGCACAACTATTTTTATCTTCATTCTAGTTATAACCTTATTATATCTTTAATTTTTTTCTCATCTCGATTCTAGCAACTACCATTCATGGAGTCGATCCATATTGTTTTACGCACCAAGAACAAGTTAGAATTTGTTGATAAATCTATTAAAGAACTTGAGAAAGATGACACCTCATATCAAACTTGGAAATATATAATAACATATTTGTTTTGGATTATTCACTTAGTTTTTCCACATATTCGATAAAGCATTCTTTGGATGGATAAAACAAAAGAAATATGGAATGATTTAAAGCTAGCTATTTTTAATGTGATCTTTTAAAAATCTTCGATCTTTAAGTGGAATCTACTTCTTTAAAACAAGGTGAGATGACTATCACAAAATATTTTACCAAATTAAGACTTATATAGGACGAGCTAGAAATTTTCTAACCTAATTTGAACTGTTCTTGCAGCACTAAGTGCAATTGTAGTGTGGCCTTTTTAATCACATAAAGAAAACACAAAAATCATGCAATGTAGTTCTTGAGAGGGTTAAATGATCAATACAATAATGTTAGATCACTTGTTCTTTTGATTGATCCTGTTTCAACTATCAACAATTTTTTTTCCTAAATTATTCAACTAGAGGGACAAGTCAATGAAAATGTTTTCATTGGTCGAATTGATACAAGAACTAATACTTTCAATGTTAGTTGTAATCACTGTGGTAAACTCGGTCATACTTTTAATACATGTTATAAGAAGCATGAATATCCTTCAAATCATGAGAATAAGAATTTCAAGAACGGTCAGAGAAAAAAAGGTTTGTGCTCAATGTGGGAGAACCGAGCATACTATTGATGTGCTACAAAAAGCATGGGTTTCCACTGGTCATCGGTTACATAATGGAAAAGCCAATAATATTAATGTTGACAATTATACAAAAGACACAAAATTGAACATGGAATCACAAGATGTGCGAATTTCTCAACAATAGTACTAAATTTTGATATCCATTATTAAACAACACGACAATAAAAATTATCCTCAAGTTAATCAAGTTGTATCCATTACTTCATCCCTTACTCATGATGACAATAATAAGGGTATGTTTTCGTTCACTCTCAATTCCATAAATAATAAAAATAATTCACCTTGGATTCTTGATTTTGGTGTCATCGATCATGTTACCTCTTCTATTTCAAATTATTCATCAAATAAAAAAACTAATTTGATTATAATTAAGCTTCCTAATGGTACAAAGAGAAGATTGATTTAGTTAATGTTCATCAAGCTCTTTATGTTCTTAATCATTTTGGCTTATCTATTAATATTTGTAGTCTTGATGAAAATAATTTTTGGCATGCTAGACTCGACTTTTTGATGATAGGTTGGCCATATTAGGACAAAAACACTTTAATATACATGGTGCTAAAACCACTGTTAGCCAATCTAGTACTTGTGTTGCTTTTAACCTTATACATGTTGATATATGGAGTACTTATTCTTTTGTTTCTCTACTTGGATATAAATATATCTCTTCATTATTTTTATGACCATACTTGGTTCACATGGGTTTATATAATGAATAACAAATCTGAAGCTCACACTTATCTCACAAATTTCATTATTCTTATTACTAATTAGTTTGGAAAACATATTAAGATCATACAATCTGATAATGGTATTGAATTTATGATGAATTTTTTTAATTCTATATGAATTATTCATCAAACTACTTACATTGAGGTTGTTGAACAAAATGATACTATTGATAGAAAATATTAACATATACTGATTGTTGCTCAGGCTCTTATATTTCACTCTAATTTCTATTAAATTTTGGTGTTATGCTATTGCTGTATTTTTTATTAACCAAACTCCTACTCCTCTTCTCCACAATTTTACTCATTTTGAAAAACTTTATGATAAACCTTATGATCTTAGAGATATTTGAGTGCTTGGTGTTGAAAATGCAAGGATATGATGTCCAAAGATTTTGATGATGATTCAAGAACAAATGACTTCAAGATTAGAAGACTCATATACATTTGTAATCGTTTGTAATAACATTGTTTAGTTAACTTGAGTCTATAAAGTTAGAGTCCAAAATAGTCAGCACTTAGTTTGTCTACAAAAGTTTCAAAATCTCACTGTGATAATCGATTATCACTAAAGATAATTGATTATCCTAGTATCTCCTAGATTTTTGAAATTGATTCTGGAATAATCGATTATCACTCATGATAATCGATTATCCTGGACAACTTTGATTTTTTTATAAAAGCTTTTGTGATAATCGATTATCACTCAGTATAATCGATTATCTAAGGCAGTTATAAATTTGAAATTCAAATTTTAACCTAATTTTTGAAAACTCTATTTAAAGGAACTCCCATGCTCTCTAAAGGGACAACCTTTTTTATACTCCAAAAGTTAAGAGTTGTGTTTGCTGAGAGAAATTTGAGTAGTAAGCAAAAGGGGCTTTGAAAACTTAGTGTGGGCAAAAGGCGATAAGAATCACTGAGTTGGATTCTCAGTGGATTGAGTGTTATGTTGTCTCTAGGAAAGCTGTCTTCATCCTTTGTGGATTCAAATGAGGTGTTCATCTCTTGTGTGCTCAAGAGAGGTGTTTTCTAATCCTTTCTATTTGTAATCTATTTATTTGATTTAATCATTATTTTAGTGACTAAGTTAATCCTCTTTTAGAGTGATTAACAACTGGACGTAAGGTCTTTTGATCTGAACCAATATAAAATACTTGTGTGATCTTTTTCTCTTATCTCTTTTTTAATCGGTAAAATCTTGCGAATTTTTTTAAAAGAGTCAATTCTTATAAGAAACCAATTCACCCCCCCCTCTTGGTTTTTGTCTTAACATGAACATTCCGTTGTGCAAAACTAACAAGTAGTATCAGAGCTTGCTTTGATAGTTTTTCAAAATTTTAGAAAATGGCTGGACAAAACCAAATATTTGCTAAGGCTGCCTCTATTAACAGACCTCCACTTTTCGCTAGTCAAAATTATCCTTTCTGAAAAGTTAGGATGCAAATATTTTTGGAGTCTGTTGACAGAGATGTCTGGGAAGTTGTCCTAAATGACCCCTTTATTCGTAAAATAACTATTAATGAAGTAGATGAACCGAAACCCTTTTCTCGATGGACTGCGGAGGAGAGTAGAAAGGTTCAATATGATGTTAGGACTAGAAATATAATTTCATCTGCTTTGACCCTTGATGAGTTTTATAGGATCTCAGTTTGCAAAAGTGCTCAGGAGATGTGGGAAGTACTGAGAGTGACTCACGAAGGAACAGAAGATGTAAAAAGAGCAAGAAAAAACTCTTTAATACAAGAGTATGAAATGTTCCGAATGCAACAAGGAAAAAAAAATTGATGTCCAAAAGTGTTTCACACACATAGTCAACCACTTCTCTAGGCTTGGTAAGAACTTTGAAACTGATGAATTAAATGTTAAAATTCTAAAGTCTTTGAACAAGAAATGGCAACCTAAGGTGACTGCTATCACGAAGTCTCAAAATCTTTCAACTATGACAATGACGGGTCTTTTTGGAAAACTGAGAGAGCACGAACTTGAACTGGGAAGGTTGAATGATGAGGAAGGACAAAGTAACAAAAGGAACATTGGAGGTCATAAAAAGCAAGAAGAAGAAGGAAGAAGAAGATTCTGATGAGTAAGAAGAAGATTCCTACAAGAAGAAAGCCTACATTGCTTGGGAGGAAAGTGACTCTAATTCAGAGTCAAGTTATTCCGAGGTTGAAGCAAACCTTTGCTTGATGGCAAATAACAATTACTCTTTTGATTATGAGATAAGTGATTCTGATTGTTATTCCAGTGATAATGAAGATGATTATGACGCCTTACATAATGCATACTAAGAATTGTTTACTGCTTTTAAAGTTTTAAAATCTGAACATAAAACCCTGAAAAAGAATTTGAATAAATCTGAAAAAGAAGTAGAATTTTTGAAAACTAAAATTGTATCTTTTGAAGAAAAAGGAGTTGAACCAATTGAGTGTGCATCATGTAAGAGTTATGAATTTGACATATGCATACTTGAGCATTTACTAGAAAATGTTACGAAAAATATGGTTGATTTTAGAAAGGATGAAAATCAAAATTTTGTGAAAACTAAAGTTAATAGTCATGCTTCTTTGAAAAGAATTAGAAATCAAAGAACCCACAAAGTATGGGTTGTGAAAGGGACTGTACTTCCACAAAATTAAGTTAAACCTTTCTCAAAAATTAAATCCTCAAATGCATGTTTTTTATTGTATGAAACAAGGACACACTTCAAATAAAAGTAAGATTAAGCATTTTGGTGTTCCTAAAGGGAAATATATTTGGGTACCCATAGTTAAATAATTTTATTATCTCTAACCCCAAGGACCTAAAAGTTTATGGGGACCTAAGATCATTGTTCCCTTATTTTGTAGGAAATCTCTAAATCCAAGAAGTCAATGTGGTACCTTCACAGTGGTTGTTCAAGACACATGACTGGTGATAAAAAGAAATTTGTAAGTTTCAAAAAGAAAGAATAAGGATATGTGACTTATGGAGATAACAATAAAGGAAAAATCCTTGGAACCGGAAACATTGGTGGTGCAAATACTTTGGAGATAAATTATGTGCTCCTTGTTGATGGATTAAAACACAACATTCTCATTATAAGTCAGCTTTGTGATAAAGGACTTAAGGTAATTTTTGAAAGCAATTACTGCACTATACATCTTAAGGATTCTAAGGAAATTGCATTAAAAGGTATTAGGCATAATAATATTATTTGATTGATTTGGATTGTGCATCTGATATTGATATATCATGTTTAGTTGTTAAAGAAGAAAATCCTTGATTGTGGCATACAAGAGCAACTCATATTCATATGCATCAATTAAACAAGTTAATCTCTAGAAACTTAGTTGTTGGTCTGCCTAAGTTAAAATTTGAAAAAGATAAATTATGTGATGCATGTCAAAGAGGTAAACAAGTGAAATCATCTTTTAAAACCAAGAACATAATATCAACATCAAAGCCTTTAGAACTTTTACATTTAGATCTTTTTGGACCATCCAAAATTAAAAGCTTTGGAGGAAATTTTATGCTTTTGTGATTGTTGATGACTACTCTAGATTTACTTGGACATTTTTCTTAACTTTGAAAAGTGAAGCCTTTAATGTTTTTAGAAAATTTTCAAAACAAATTCAAAATGAAAAAGAGTTAAGAATTAAAGTGTTAAAAAGTGATCATGGTAGAGAATTTAAAAATAAGTCTTTTGAAAATTTTTGTGAAGAAAATGGTATATTACATAATTTTTCTGCACCTAGAACGCCCCAACAAAATGGTGTAATTAAGAGGAAAAATAGATCCTAGAGGAACTAGCAAGAATAATGATGAATGAATCTAATGTTCCTAAATACTTTTGGGCAGATGTTGTAAGTACTGCATGTTATGTTTTGAATAGAATGATCATTAGGCATATCTTGAAAATAACACCTTATGAGCTATTTAAAGAAAGAAAATCAAATGTAGCTCATCTAAAAATCTTTGGTTGCAAATGTTTTATGTTAAAGAATGGTAAAGATAACCTAGGTAAATTTGATTCAAAAGGCGATGAGACTATTTTCTTAAGTTATTCTCTTACTAGCAAAGCATATAGGGTATTTAATAGAAGAACATTGAATGTAGAAGAATCTATGCATGTTGTTTTTTATGAAATTGTAGACCTTAAGGAAAATTCTCTTGTGTCAAAAAAGGAAAATGCAGGTGATGACAAGTACTTAAGGGAAGCAGTAGAAGAAATGTACTTGAATGAGAATGAACCATCACAACCAACTGAGTTAGCAAAATAATGGAAATCATCAAAAGGACTATCGCTTGACAACAAAATTGGTGATATTTAAAATGGAGTAACTACTAGAAATATAACTAACTTCTGTATGAATGTAGCCTTCGTTTCACAAATAGAACCCACGAGTGTTGAGGAAGCTCTCAAGGATGATCAATGGTGTATTGCAATGCAAGAAGAATTGAATCAATTTGAAAGAAATCAAGTCTGAAAATTGATTCCAAAAGAAGAATCTCATCAAGTGATTGGAACTAAATGGGTGTTTAGAAACAAGCTTGATGAAGAAGGAAACATAACCAAGAACAAAACAAAGCTAGACTTGTGGCAAAAGGGTACTATCAAGAGGAAGGTATAAACTTTGATGAGACTTATGCTCCTGTTGTCAGGTTAGAGGCTATACGCCTACTTCTTGCTTATGCTTCTATGATGAAATTCAAACTGTATCAAATGGATGTGAAAAGTGTCTTTCTAAATGGTTTCATTAAAGAAGATGTATATGTGCAACAACCTCCAGGTTTTAAAGATTTCAAATACCTAGATCACATTTTTAAATCAAAAAAGGTACTATATGGATTAAAACAGACTCCTAGATTGTGGTATGAAAGGTTGAACACTTTTCTATTAACAAATGATTTTTTTAGAGGAAAAATTGATTCAACTCTGTTTATTAAGAGAGTACGTGAACATATTCTATTTGTCCAGGTATATGTTGATGATATCATTTTTGGATCTACTGATAACTCTGTGTGTGAAGACTTTGCAAGCATTATGCAGGGTGAATTTGAAATGTCCATGATGGGGGAATTAACTTTCTTTCTTGGACTTCAAATCAAGAAATTAAAAGATGACACTTTTATGTCTCAAACAAAATACTGCAAGGAAATCCTCAAGAAGTTTGGAATGGATATTGCAAAAGAAGCTAACACACCAATGAGAATGTCCTGCTATCTGGATAAGGACGAATCAGGTTTGGAAATAAATCAACTTATGTATAGAGGTATGTTAGGTTCTTTATTATACTTGACTGCAAGTAGGCTTGATATCATGCAATCTGTCTGTGTGTGCTAGATTTCAGGCTTGTCCAAAAGAATCTCACTTAACTACCGTAAAAAGAATCTTAAAATATTAACGATTTGTGTGTGTGTCAAGATCTCATAAAATTATCCATATGTTTTAACAATCCAGCATTAGGACATTAGAGGGAAAGTTGTCTTTACATAAACCATCATGTACAAAATTTATTTCATTCTTTTTATTATTTATCCCTTATGATATATATATATATATATATATATATATATATATATATATATATATTTATATCTTTATATCTAAATTGAATTTAAAATATTTCTTATAAAATAATTTAATATTATTGAATAAAAAAGTTATACTACTATTTAAATTATTTATAATAAATCTAATATATAATTTATATATTTATTTATTATAAATTTTAATCATAGAAAATATTCATTTTGTGTAATGGATAAATAAAATTACTTGTTATGCACATAGAATAGAAAAAAAAGTATATATCTAAAATGTTGAATAAAAAATAATCTTAAATATATAAATTTTATTATAATTAAAATGTATAAAAAACAATTTTTTAAAACATAAAAATTATATTTTTAATTTATGATAAATAATTTATATTTGAAATAGTATTAGTTATTGATAACTTGTTTTAAAAATATGTTAAAATTAAAATATTTTTAAATGATATATTTACAATAGTTAAAGAGTAAAAATAAATAAATAAATAAATAATCCTAAAAGATCTTTTATTATATTATATTTTCAAGAACAATATTTTGTATAAAAACTGTTATATGATGTGACTTTCACATGATTAAAACTAATTTTTGTTGCCTATGTTTAATAATTACTATCACTAATTTTTCTACGCATTCTATCTTCGGCCTAAATATAACTTACTTTAGGGGTTTTATTTATTTTTAAAATATGTGTCATATTAAAATACCAAGAAATCACCCATTATTTTAAGAACTCTCATTTTATTAATAATTAAGTAGCACTAATTAATTTACATATATGTTCCTTCTCATACAAAAATATTTTAATAAAAGCAATAAAGCAGCATAAAAGTTTATTTAACTATAGGTAATAAAAACTTGTTAGACGTTAAATATGTAATTGATAGACGAAATTAAGCATGTTTTAAAAAATGAGGGAAAGAAAGTATGGGAAAAGAAAGGAACCATCATGCGCAAAGGTATCCCATATGCTACGACTTCTTCCATCTTCATTAGCAGCGCCTTCCACCTGTTTACAATAATCACACCAATAACAACACATTTAGATATGATATATATTGGTGTGTGCAAATTATGGGTTGCGTCCTAGATTCGATCTATTTGATCAGTTATGATTTGTAAAATAAACTTCAAAAGGCAAAAATAATATAATCCTAAAATATCGCCGATTATTATATATTTTATTTTCCCACAATCATGTCAAAAGTTATTCAAAATTTGATTAATTATGATTTAAGTAAAAATGTAATTATAATTTAATTTTAAATTTCTTTTTAATTAATTATTTTGCTTTAAATATAAAATTCTTGAATGAGAATGTGTTATTAGGTTATTATGTTCAATAAATAACTTGATTTTCATTTGATTAAATTTAAGATCATAATTTTAAGTGAAATTTCTCGAATCACAAAAGATCTTGTCTTCTAGTCTTCTAGTTGATAAAGGTTCGATTACAAAATATTATATAAATCTTACGACGAAAATATTTATTTAGTATCTAGATCTAAATTTATCATAACTAAAATCAAAATATATTATTATTCAAATTTTAACTTATCATAATTAAAATGTATTATTATTTAAATTTTAACTTATCATAATTAAAATGTATTATTATTCAAATTTAAATTTATAAGTCTTAAAATTAAGACAAATTAACTTAAAAAATCTTTAAAATTAAGATCTATGAAATTTTTTTACTGAAAACTAACTAAAGTTTGAACTGGCTAGAATATATATATATATATATATATATATATATATATATATATATATATATATATATATATATATATATATATATATATATATATATATATATATATATGATAATTGTTCTGGTTTTATATTTTAACTTTTTCGTTCTTTGTATTTGAGACCAAAGATTTTGTAGTGTAAGTTTTTACGAGAAATTCATTATAAATCAGGTCGTTTGCTAATTTTTGATGCAGAAAACTAAAATATTAACTCTAATAAGATTTGTCTCGGTTTAAAGGCAGCTTTCGTAAGGATTTATAAGTCAAGTATTTTAGTAAGTAATCCGCACATTCAGGTCTAAAAGGAGATTAAAATAAGTTAATTTTGATCTACTTATAAATAGATACTCCAAAAACAAAAAAAAATTATATTAAATATTTTACAAGAAGAAGATGATCAATGAGACAAAGAAATCAAGGGGATCGAACTGCTGAATGGAAACCTGATAAGCAGAGGTTCCGGAACCGAAAACAAAATCATCGGGAAAATCGTCTCTGCCATAGGTCTCAGCGCCGGCAACACTTCCCAGAGCCAAATTCAGAAGTAAGAAAGTAAGCATGAGACTGTTGCTGAAGTATGTGTGTGGTTTTTCCATCGATTCACGCACCAAGTTGCGTTCGTTTTGTGAGTTATTATATACCAATACGAACTGCGAATTTTTTTTTATTTTAAATAATATAATTTTTTTTTACTCAAATTAGACTCTTTCTTACTTCATTAGTGTAAATAGACCTGCTTATTATTATTACGAAAGGTCATAATTCAATTCCAGGAATCAAATTCTGGGAAGCAGAAATGTTAGGAATCGAATTCTGCAGTGCGTTTTGATTTTTTTTTTCACATGCTTATTTATATATATTTATATTTATCTATTTATATATATATATATATATATATATATATATATATTATATTGATATAATTAAATATTATTATATTTATATATAATAAAAATTTAATAATTATATATTTGTATATATATATATATATATATATATTTATATAGTTAAATATATGAATATTTATATATATATAGTTAAGTATTAATATATGAATATATTTAGATATTTATATTAATATATTATTAGATGTTTAGATATCAAATATTTATATATGTAAATATTTATATGTTTATATATTAATATTTATTTAATAATTGTATATTTATATATTTAAATGTTAATATATTAGTATATTATATATATATATATATATATATATATATGTAAATATAATTTGATAAGTATATATTTATATAATTAGATATTAATATATTTAGATATTTATATAATTATATATTAACATATGTTAATATTTTTATATTTATATAAATATATTAAAATTATTTGATTTGTTATGGTTAAGTAATATTAAAAATAAAAGAAAGTTGATTTATACTCCTTTTACGTGATTAGTTAAAAAATTATTATAATAATATTAGAGTTATAAAAAAATAATATAAAATATAAAATTTATTTATTAAATTGAATTTAAAGAAATAATACATTATAGGGAATATATTTATTTTGTAAATGAGTAACGTTATGACATGTTCTTTTGGTGTGACCAACTATGGCAAAACGAACAAAGTTTTGGACGAAATTAACTTTTTGGTATAACCATTTATATTATTATTCGCCTTGACTTTGGATAACCTTTTGTAGTTCTCTTCATTTTTTGATTTGGTTCAAAATTGGTTCCATATAAGATGGTCAATAATCTTCATTTTTTTATTCTCTCAATAGTCTATCATAGACCTTACCGACTTGTACTAAAGTATAAACAAGATTTATGTAGTTGGTAAAATAATGATATGCGTGTTTGCAAGCAGTTATTACGGGCGAACATAATAAATGAAGTTTTTAAAAATTACCACAATCACACCGTGGTAGAGTGAAATTGGGTAAATTGTCAGGGGTGAGTTGTAGGTGACTTGGGTAGGTTCGATGGCAAATTCTAGTTGAGGTTTTTCATCTTCATCATCTGCACTATCAACGAGGATGTCATCTTCGTCACCGCTGAAAGGGTCATAAGTTTTGGATGAAATACTTAATATGGCATGTTCTTCCATGGATGGGTTGTTTGGTGGGGTTGGATGGGTTAACTGAAAAGGTGGGGTTGGTTAAAAAACTAGGGTTGGTCCTGTGTATGTAAGTTTGAAGATCTTATTCCCAACAAGTATAAAAGGAAGAATTATTTTTGCCTAAGTTTGATGGTGAAGGGTGATAAGAAGATTTAGGTTGTGGGTTGAGTACTGGCTCATGTACATATGAAGGTGAGGAAAAAGAAACTGGCAAATAAAACTTTGTTTGTCGTCAAATAAAACTTCTTATGTAGATATATCAAGTCAAAATAAGTAGTTTACTATTTACGATAAGACTCCTATATATCACACATTAATGCACGCAATCCAATATCTCAACAAAAACTAATAGTCACAACCCAATATCTACATTTAAGACTCCTATATGCATTAGTCACAGCCCAATATCTACATTTAAGACTCCTATATGCATTTTTCAAAACCAACCTAGGAATGCATGGAGTATTGTTCAAGATAAGACTCCTCTATACCACACACTAATGCACACTGCCCAATATCTACATTGTCCAAGACCAACCTCAAAATATTGCTTAGGATAAGATTCCTCAGTACCATATACTGCTCAAAGTGTCAACAAAAAGTAATGGTCAAAATTGAATCTCTAAAGATCGATCCACATTTAACACACATTAGTCAATGTTAAAGTCAAGTCACCATTAAGTTGTCCAAGACTCACATTAAAATACAAAGTACACTAATTTATTATAGGGGCTTTTTTGTCTACACAATATAGTAAATGACATATATAAATCTAGGTTTGCTTTCATAACGAATTCGCTCACTCATCTTGCCCAGTGATAGATCTTCTTCGGAGCTGAGGGGGTCGTGACCCTCCCAAAGTTTTGTAACTCCCATGTAATTTATGATTGTGGCCCCCTCAAACTTAATGAACATTTAATATATTTACTTGTATATTTACAATTTTATCCTTCCAGACCTCTCCTCGGTTTTGTAACTCTTATATAATTTATGATTTTGTCCCTCTCAAACTTAATGATCATTTAATATATTTAAGTATATATTTACAATTTTATCCTTTCACCATTTCATATTCTTACTTTCTTTTATATTTATTTATTATTTATTAATAATATATTATTTGACCCCTTGAAGATCAATGGTCAAGATTCGCCTTGCCTATCAAAAATCCTATCCAACCTTTGTGTTATTCTTCTTTTTACTCTTCAAATGGAGGACCTTAACGTCATTAAGCACTGAAAATTTTGATAACTTTTATCTTACAACAATGTTTATAAACAATCAAATCAGAACAAATGAGGAAAGATTGTACTTTCAATGTGCATCTCCTAAAATTTTTCGAATTCCACACAATTGCACATTCATCATTGTGAAAGAAAAATATACACTTCTTTAGGGATTCCTGCAGACACCTCAATCAACAAGTTATATTACCGTCAACAAAAACTAATAAGTGATGGTTTAATTATATATGATGCTACTGAAATATTTTCTGATATTGATGTATCTAACATGATTAATTGGAAGCCACAATTCCCTTTGGATACTATCATTGAATTATATATTCAATATACAAGATTCACTAATGAAATACCGATGCTTTCAAACCCCCTTATTTCTACCTCTTCCGCAAACCCAACAATATCCCTTCCTCTGAAGCTATAATTTACTTTGGTGGTCTTGTCCAACATACAACCATTATGGAAAGTTCAAATGATTTTGGTCTTACTTATTCATGTTTAAACCCTAGAGTAATGGTAATCTAACACACATGGTCTTTTACTAAACTATATGAAAACATTACTCAAGTACTTGATTATGGAGATCACAAAAATATTACTGAAATCAATTACTGTAGTTTAGTTTGGGTGCGAAATCAAAAGATCATTCACTACTTTGTGTAAATTAAAACTGATGCTGATGTGACCCAAATGATTGGGTGCGAAATCAAAAGATCATTCACGACTTCTATGCAAATTAAAACTCATGTTAATGTGACCCAAATGATCAATTGTTGGAAAAAATCACAACCTCTACAGCTAATCGTGCAACGTGAACAAATATGAGAAATGATTAAATTTTTGTTCAAGCTAAGACCATATGAAAGACAATACTAGAGGAAATTATTTATGACTTGGAAAATAGTACATACATTAACAAATATGAGATAATAATATCCACATTTGCCTTACGATTTATAAGATGATTCTTCAACTACCATTTACCTTGTAATTTATAATTTAATTGAGTTTCATATGAACATGTATTATTTCAATTATGCATCATTAATTTATGATTTTTTAATATTTTATATCATAAATATAAATATGTATAAAATACAAAAATATAAATATATATTAATTAAATATAAAAATATATGACTATATATTTATAAAATATATATATATATATATATATATATAAATATGTATTTATTAACTATACAAATATATATATATATATATATATATATATTTATTAAATATTTTATTATATAATATTTATTAATTGTATACAAATATTAAAATATATCAAAACGTATTAATTATATATATATAACTATAAATAATTTTATATAAATATATAATTATACGTATAAATATAAATATAAATAAAAAATTTATATGAATATATATATATATATATATATATATATATATATATATATAACCAAGTAAAAAAAATCAAAACGGAATTTAAAATTCGATTCCCTTATTATATTTTTAAACAAATCTATTTTGATAAATGAAATAAGAGAAATTTATTTAAGTAATTAATGTTTTTTTAATATTATTTTAGAAAAAATATCTACAAACTGCCAACATGGAGTGCCACGCCTCCCGCTCTCTTTCCATTTATTGCACTGACAACGGTTGGGAGAGATGTGAATAGTAATTGGCCCCGCCATCTCCTCTCTTGTCAAAACTAGAAATTTATTGGGCATTATATGTTGTGTTTTATTTTATTTTAATTTAATTTATATTATTATTTTAATATTAATTTGACCTTATTAGCTTTTAAAACAAGTTAATATCGTTTTTTTAATATTATTAAATTGTTTAACATTAGTTTAATGTTCTACGTGATTATATTTATTGAGGTAGAATTTATTTCTCATCTATGATAAAATATATTAAATTTGTCAGGATAAATTAGTAATTTTAATATATTAATTGGATCCTTGTTCATTTAATGGGTCAAAGATTAGGGAAATAGGTTAGTTCCTTGATTAGTTAAAAAAAAAAACTTATATATTAAAATTAAAAAAATATATTATATTATATTATTGAAATGTATAAATATATTATAATATTATAATTTAAATGATAAAAAAAATAATTAATTAATTTAAAAAATTTATTATAATTAATTATTTTAATATATAAATTTAGTAATTTTTTAATATATTTAATAAAAATATTAAATAATAAATAAAAATTTAAAAATTATTCATATAATTAAAGTTATATTAAAAA